GATAAATACAGTTTATCACATCTCTCTACAACTTATCACATAGATAAATAGAGCTGAACAGTAATTTTACGTTGAAATGGTTTTTTTTGAATGTGGTTTCCACAAAATCAAATTTTTCTGGAGTTCCTGTGTTTCTATGACACTGCCACCACATATGTAGTCTATGTGGCCGTGATATACATGTGGTAAATTAAGTGTATTTATCATGCATTTTGACTTTCTCTGCTTCCCACTACAACAATATACAGTGACAAGTTTAACATCTGGATTGAAATACTGGCCCCATTGAATTCAATGCAAGTGTTGCCATTAACTACACTGGAGCCAGGATTTTATGCCCGATATCTTGCAACCCATCAGGGTTAGGAATGAGAGCTTTCTACCATTATTAGAAAGCCAGGAATCCTTCCTTTCAAACACACTTTTGTTTCTGACTTTAGTGGATTGTGAAATGACTGGCCAGAAGACTGCAAAATTATTATGTATGCAAAGCCTATGTTAGGTAACTGTAGAAGTTTCACTAATTATTAGCCATCCTTTTTTTCTCTCTTTGAGGCCTGTATAGTAATAATTTCCTTCCTATTTTATTAGTTTGAATTAAATACAATCATATTATTAAATCAACACTAATACAGATACACAAACAGAAACACAAATTGATAGGAAAGGTAGTTAATTTGCTAATTAAAAGACAGTTATAGATCAATCCATCAATTACCAGCATTTACGAAGTGGGCATTACATATTAGAATATCACTGTTGCCTTAAAATTATGGTGTAAAAAGACCAAGCTCAGAACTATGCTACCACTAGTATTAGCATATTTAATATTTCCATACTTTAGAAAAGAAATGATGCATTAATGGAGTCACATATGGAAAGACACATATCTCAGTTTTGTTTCCAATCTGACTGTCTGCCTCCCATCCACTAGTTACACAGGACATTGGACTTCAGGACATGCTGAAGAGCATGTATGCAAAAACTTGCAGGGCTACATTTAAATTCAGATTGTAAAAATCTCTTTTTATTCAGACAAAAGAACCATGTAAATATTTTTGCTAAGCTTTAGGTTTGTAATTTTTTTAAATTTAAAACCACCTACTTTTAGGGCCTTAAGCAACCTGAATATGTTCCTTAATCTGCCTTCCCTCCCCCCCAGTTTATTTAGAATGGATACCAAAAGTTTAGTGGATATTGTGTTACTTTGATAACTTGATTGGATATGTTAACTAGTGCTGTCACAAATGCTTAATAGTAGACTACAGTATCTTCATGAGATGCGTATGAAATTTCTGTATCATGCTTCTTTTGGCTTTGTAATTTAGCCTGATGCTTTGTTAGGGTAATTGTACCTTTTCTGGTTGTAAACTTCTGAAGAGTAGGATAAATTATTAAATAAACAAATGTCTGCTGTATACACAGGTATTCCAGTAGCTTAATCATCATTTCAATCCATTCTCTAGCGCATAATAGTCCTTTGGGGTCAGCTTGTGATTGCTGTTTGATTGTGAGTAGGGGATAGGCCGGTCATGATTACAGTGAATGCAATGCTCCAAGGGCATGGTAACAATAATCAGATCCTTTTTATCATGTGTCCCCTACTTTGGTCATCAGATCCCTGATATTCAGCACTTAAAGCCTATAAAAACTGAGTGAAAGTTGTAACTTCATTAGTAGACTTTTATCCTGGCATGTAGACCATTGCATGTGCAGCTGTAGAGTAGCTTAAATCTGAAAACTGTCACTGGGCAGTTTAAACTCAGAATCAAGTTTTCCTAAAGTGAAAATTTGCAGAGCCACACCAAGCAAATACTACTTTCAGGGACTGATAGATTTTTCTTCATAATTCTGATAGATGTTCAGACAGCACAATGGTGAGCTTGGTATAAAACCTAGGCAGCCATAGCCTGCAAATATCTCGGTTAGATCCCTTTAAACATTCCTGCTTTTCAGGCCATATTACATGTTTTCCATATTGGACGCATTTGTTGCTTTTCTCCAGGCCTTTTCAAAATTTGCATTTCAGATACAATTTCTGTTCCTTCTGGGTTGTACATTTTTACCAGTTCTACAAGTACTTATATGGATAGAAAACATCCCTCAGCCAAGAAAGTTTTTCAAATGAATAGAAGCATTTTAAGATTGACTTCCAGACACAATACTCTAAGTATGGGTATATGGTTGTTTGCAATCTTATTACAATATTCTTTGTATTGCTTTGGATCCTTTTTTCGAATATTACCAGGCATTGGATGGTTTTTTAACTTGTCCCACAATGACTCAAATATTGTCCCTGAAAATTCAAGTCTATTAAGGCATTCAAATATCACAGTGATGGTTGACCTTATAAAACCCTAGATCAGTGATACTCAGACTGTAACTCTCAAGCCATAAGTGGCTTTTTAATGTCTCTTTGCAGCACATGATATTAAAATACAGTGATTTAATTATTAACCAATCTAAGTTTATATATATAAACTAAATATTTTCTCTGTCATTCACACTACTGTGGCTCTTTTGAGTAATGTTGATCGCTACTTTGACTCCTGAACCGCTGGGGTCTGAGTATCACTGCCCTAGATAGATTAATAAATATATTAAGTTGGTCATAGCCCACTATTAATTTCTCTCCACTGTGAGGACTAGCCATTCACTATGACTTTTTATTTCCTATTATGTAGCATGTTTTTACTCAATAAGACTTTTTTCCTTTTATCTGTCATTGTCCCTGTTTAAAGAATATTATCAAAAGTGTTTTGAAAATTAGCATTACATT